GGGACGCCGAAATAGGGATACATCGTGTTGGAAGCTTTAACTGGGGTGTCAATTAGGAAACATGTTGGGGGCCAGATTGGGAAGGAACTGCAATGTCCAGGCTGATTGTGATCACAGAAACTGTCCTTAGAGTCCTGGGACATAGGAGTGGGACACGGACACACACACACACACACACACACACACACACACACACACACACACACGCATGCACACACACGCACGACCTGTCCAACTGTGCACCTCACTAGCCAGCATGAGCATCTATGCTATGACCCTTTTAATGTGCATCCAACCCTGACACATTGTTTCCAGAGTCCAATGCTACCACAGGATCTACACTGGGAGGGAGGTCCAGTGAGTCACCATCACTTAGGATACAATCTTTTTAAAACAGTGCCATTGACTGGGCATGTGTGCCATTTCTGTAACCGTAGCTCTTGGGAGACTATGACAGGAGGACCATAGGTTTGAGGTTAGCATGGGATACAAAGTGAGACTCTGTCTAAAAAACAACTACAAACACATCCCCCAAATTAAAGTGATAGTAACAAAGAAACAAAATTAGACTGCAGCTGGGTGCGTCCTACATGCCTGGACACAGCTGCTCAGAAGCCGGCGGGAGAAGGATTATTTGAGCCCAGAAGTTTGAGATCAGTTGGGGCCATATAATCAGATTCTGTCTCAGAAGAACAAAGCAGAAACCAGTAATACTACCTCATTCTTTTGTTTTGTGTTTTCGAGGCAAGGTTTCTCTGTGTAGCTTTGGAGCCTGTCCTGAATCTCCTCTGTAGACCAGGCTGGCCTCGAACTCAAAGAGATCTGCCTGGCTCTGCCTCCCAAGTGCCGGAATTAAAAGTATGTGCCACCACCACCCAATTCCCATTCTTTTTTTTTTTTTTTTTTAGTTTTTCGAGCCAGGGTTTCTCTGTGTAGCTTTGCGCCTTTCCTGGAACTCGCTTTGGAGACCAGGCTGGCCTCGAACTCACAGAGATCCGCCTGGCTCTGCCTCCCGAGTGCTGGGATTAAAGGCGTGCGCCACCACCGCCCGGCCTCCAATTCCCATTCTTAAGAAGCCCCTCCAGAAAGATAAGCCCTGCTCATAACTTTAAAAGTGCAGTTCAAAACAGTAAGATATATTTTTTCATAGCAATCTCTGACAATGTCTGGTGTTGGCACGGTCATGGCTTTGGCCAGTTTGAGCAGCTACTTGTCTAAAAGGCACAGCCTTTTGGGAAAACGTCTGTGGGCCGGTGAGAGTTAGGTCAGCGGGTGAAGATGCTTGTAGAAGAGGCCTGTGAACCTGAGTTTCATCCCTGGAACTCACATAAAGGTGGAAGGGGGAGAACTGATTCCATGCTGTCCTCCGACTGCCATACATGCTCCTTGGCACACATCATGTGCACACGTGTACAATAGTGAAAATGTTCATTTTAAAAGGCAAGTGTGCATATCCCCCCCACCCCGCCGCCCCAAACTCCAATCCTAGGAATCTATTCTGTGACTATACCTGGCCCTAGTATGCAAAAATGTACTTGGGAGGATGTTTACTGTGAATGTTTGTGATTCTTATAAGCTAAGGGAAAACGGATTGCTGAGCACTAGCCCCCTATTGTATATCCGAGCAAAGAAATAGATTCCGGTGTCCGAACGAAAATTGTGGGAAATGTAAGAAGTGGTAACTCATCCCTGGACGAATCCTATATGCCTTCGTTTACATAGAAAAATCTGGAAACATATACAAAACAGTTACAAGTGTTTAGTTCTCTCGGGGAAGTGGGGATGGTGGAGGGAGGGGCTTAAATGTCTTTCTTCCCTTTCCTTACTAGTTTCTTTATCTTGAACCATGAGTAGTTATTATTTTATAATTTAAAATAATGTTAAAGTATAATTAAGGGCCTTCGAGATGGTTCGGTGGGTATGGGGGCTTGTCACCAAGCCCTGATGACCTGAGTTCGATCCCTGGAACCTACATGATGACAGAAGAGAACCAACTCCCACAAATTGTCCTTTCACCTCCACACACGTGCTCTGGCTCATACACCCCCAAATTCCCCCCTACACTAAGTAAATAAGTGTAAAAAAAATTTAAGTAAAAATAAAGACATAATGCTAACAGCTCACAGATGTGGATTTGAACTTCAGAATGCGTTAGCAATAAATGGAATAGTCTTGAGGTTTACTAATAAAAGAGAGGTGTTTTTTTTTTTCAGTTTTTTGTTTTGTTACAGGGTCTCATGTAGCCCAGGCTGGCCTCAGACTCACTATACAGATGAAGATGACTGCCTCTACCTCCTGATTGCTGGCATTACAACTGTGCACCATCACACCTAAGATCATTTGTTTGTATCACGACATCTGTGCTCTAATACCAGTGGGCCTTCCTGCTCTGTTTCTGAGGTTTTGGCTTAACACGTCTTCACTGTTGCTGTTTATTTGGGACAGACAGTGGACCCAGTGGACCAACGCTCCTCAGTGTCCTCAGGTAGGCCAGGAGGGGCCAGAACCTGGGGCCTTAGGTGCCTACAGAGAACTGTGCCTTTTAATAACCACCTCTAGGACATTTCCATGTACATGCCAGTGCTGGAAACCCAACAATGACAGAACAGTGTCCTCTCTGCAAGAGCTCACTTAAGAATCTTGCACAGGGCATGATAAACGTTGGAAGTATGCTGGAGGCACTTGTGGGTCACACAGGAGGGGTCACACAGGAGGGGTCACACAGGAGGGGTCACACAGGATGGCTCACTGGGCCAAGGCTCAGGAAGTCTGGATAAGGGAACAGAGGTACACGTGAGTCTTTGAGTGAATTGGAGTCTGCTAATCTCCAGAGTAGCAGCTGACTTGGGAAGGGTGGGCTTTACTGAGAGTAACATGGGATTAAGCTTTATGAAGGGACACTCTGGCAAGAGTATGGAGATGTCTGTGTGCGCGTGTGCATATGCGTGTGTGTGATTTTCTTAAATATACAACTATCAAGTAAAGAAAGAACAGGCGCCAGGGCCCCAGTGTTGCACCAGGGCTGGGCACAGAGGCTGAAAAATAGCTATGGTTACTGACTGGGGCCTTCGGGCCTCAGAGATGTGAGAAGATAGGGTAGAGAACAGAGGGGTGGCTAACACAGGACGAAGGCATGGGTGACCTTAGGTGCTCGGTCCTCAATAGAGCACTCCTTCCTTCTTGGCTCAGCATCTTTCACTGGCCCCCACTTTCCTCAAAGCTCAGCCTGTCTGCCGTCTCCTCTTCTGGCTCGTCTCCGGCCAAGTCTTCCACGTTGAAGGCTTCAGGACCCAGGGTCCATTGCATCCTATTTCCTCCTGCATGCCCTGGAGGTTCAGCCATTTCAAGGCTTTGAATTCCACCCTCAGGATGACATGCCCAGAGGTCAAATTTCGGTCCAGATTTTCCTCCTGGACTCCCGGTCTAGAATCCATCTACATGACACATCTACTCTGATGAAAACTGGACTTTAAACTTAACACATCCTAAACAGGACCCTGGCCCACCCCTGAACGTCTATGGTTGCTGCCCCTCACCATCTCAGGAGACAAGTCATTCTACCCAGTTGTTCAGCTGCAAAACCTCTGGTCACTCTTAGCTCTTTTTTTTTTTTTTGGTGGTGGTGGTGGTGAGTCTCACTCTGGGACTGGCCTGAGACTTGAAAGCCTCCTGCTTCAACTTCCTGAGTCCTGGGGTTGTAGACACACCATCTATCCATGAAACTCTTTAACTTGCTTTTCGGTTCTCAGGAAATCCTGTTAGTTCTGCGAACACAAATGTATCTGGAATTCAAACACATCTCACTGTTCCGTGACCCCGGGCCACGCTCCCGGCTACTATTTATCTTTCACTAGTATTTTTGATATTCATTCAAAATTCAGCAGCCAGATTATTTTAAAACACGAATGAGGTGTGTCTAGGCCCTACCCCAAGCCCTCCACAAAGCTTCCTCCTTTAAGACCTTACGGAAGCCTGCGGGGCTCTACAGTTTCCGCCTGTGTCCAGTTACTCTCTAGTAACCGGTCTCTGCTCTCCCAGCTCTTCAGTGGACAGCTGATATCCCGCTATCCCAGTCCGTGGCTGTGCCCTCACCCCTACAGGAGTACCCCTCACCACCGTCATCTTTAAGCTCTCCGACCTGCCTGCAGAGCTTGCCACCTCTCGGTGGCACACCAAAGGAATCAGCGTTACTTCCCAAATTAGGATGCTCTAGAAAGCAGGGAAATTTGTGTGCTCTCTCTCTCTCTCTCTGCCCTGTCCTCGGTGTCTAGGACCCTGTCTGAATTGTAATAGGCCTCAGGCCGAGGTTAAAGAAGCAGACCTGTGGAAAAGGCTCCATCAGAGGAAAGAGTATAGGAGGAAGAGGGTGGAAACCAACCTGGAGCTGGCCAGAGAGAGCGCACAGGCAGCTAGGAGCTGAGGATGAGGAAGCCCAAGGGGAGGTCGGAGCGGATGCAGAGGCAAGTTAGAGATGCTCCCGGGGAGGCTGGAGCTCCTCTGGAGCTTGGGAAGAAGGTTTACAGTGGCCCAATGCCCCTGATACGAGGTAGGCGCTCAATAAAAGGGACCGCTGGCCGGAGGAAAACGGGCTATTCTGGGGCTGTGCAGATGGCGACTGTCACAGAGTGGACGCGACCAAACCTGCACAGCTGCAAAGACAGAACGGAACCTTCCCAAGCTCTCTCCCAGGGGAAAGGCCATGGAGCCGGGGGGAAGTGACCGCGAGCGAGAACTGGAAGGTGAGACGCGCCCACGCGGGTGCGCGCCGAAGCCTCGCGGCGCCGGCGCCACTCCGAGCCGGCGCCACCGGGGCCAGCGGCGCGCAAGCTCCCCCAGCGCCGCCGCGCACCGCGTGGCCCCCGCCCTACCCGCCCGGCCCTTCAGACTCCGCCCTCCCCAGCCCCGCCATCCCACCAATCAGACGGAGGGCCCCGCCTCCCGGCCCCCGAAGCCCCGCCCCGGGCCGGCGCGTCGCCAGCCAATGGGAGGCCGAGCCCAGCGCCCAGTGCGCGCTGCCCGCGCCGAGCCGGCTCAGAGCGAGAAAAGCGAACCCAACCCGTCGGGGCCGCCGCTCCGGACCCACCGCCTGCCGCCGCGCGCCGCCCGCCGCCGCCTCCTCCCCCCCGGATCGGGTGTACTGTCCCAACCCGAAAGTCCAGTTCTGCGGCCCGGCTGCGGCGAGCGAGCGAGCGAGCGAGCGCGATGACACAGGAGTACGACAAGTGAGTGAGGCGCGGGCGCGAGTCCGGCCAGGGCCCCGGGGGCCACCGCACCTGCCGCCGCGACGGCGCGGGCTCCCGAGCGAGGGGCCTCGAGGCCGGGCTGGGCGGGGCGAGCAGGGGGGCAGCCGGCCCTCGGCTCGCCGTCGGAGGGCCCCCGGGCCCCGTCACCCATGCATGGCTCGGTGGGGACGGGTGGACCCCGGGCAGCAGCGTGCTGTCACCTGCCGAGCGAGCTGCTGCGGGAGCGAGGAGAGATCTAGGGGAAGGTGGAAGCGTCCGCTGCCCGCGCGTTTTCTTCGCTGCGGCTGCTGTGTGAGAAAACGGCTGTGGGTGTTCTCGGGCCCTTGCATCACCGATGGTAATTACAGAAGACTGTTTCTCCTGGTCGGGAGTAGCAAGAGGAAGAAACTGCAAGCAGGGTGATAAACTTAGAGAATTCTTTTGGATCGGGATTGGCTTTTCTCGGGAGTTTGGGGTTTTAGAAGCGAGCGAGAAATGTACAGGGGGTGGTGTTAAGATGTGATCGGACGTTGGCAGGACGAGGGGGTCCCGGAGAGTTCTCGGTTTTACTCGCAACTTTTCTGTGTTTATAAAGATGTCCTGAAAGTCGGAGCCCGGCTATTTCAGCTCAGTAAATCTGGAGCAGAGAATTGGCTTCGTAGTTACTTGTGAAGGGTGGATTTTTCTCGTGCCTGTTTTCTGAAGGAGGGTTTAGCTGTGTGTAGAATCAGCAACAGAATAATCTTGTCTTGTAAAAAAAAAAAAAAAAAGAAGTTGTATGAGTACTGGGCTCTCTTGAAGGTCTGAGGCTCATTTGAAAACACCCATGAACCTTCAGGGCCGGAACAACAGCTTGCTGGTCATGAAGAAGTGAACTGCAATTGCCAGTCTGCTTATTTCTCTACTTGTCGACAAGGCAAAAGTCCCCAGCGCCAACCCCTTGGCTTGAGGCATACTTTGGAAATATAAAATGCCTTCAGGATGATTGCAGACAGAAAGCCACTTGGAAAATATTTATTTTTTGATGCTTGTACCAATGTAGGATGGGATGGTAGGAGAAGGAAAGCTTGAAAAACTAGCATTACGACTGTTGAACGAGCCAAGTGCTGTCAGAATCTTCTGGAAGTAGCTATTAGGCTATTAATAATAGCTCAGCCGTAGACCAGGGAATCTCGCCAGGGTATCTCACCAGGGTACTGTACCACCATTGGACTCAGGACCCAAAAGCTTGGGGAATGCCATTTTGTGTATTTTTCTTTCTTTGGTTAAAACTTGAGATTTATGGAGATAAGTCTTCTCTGTTTTTAAATTTCAAAATAATAAGCCTGCCTCCGGACATAAGCCCTTAGAATCATCTTCGTAGGCACAAGTGAAAGACGGACTCTGAGACAGCTCTGCCTTCTGAGGGCAGACGACGGAGTTGTTGGATTTTTTTCTTCCCTTTTCAAAGATGTCCTCCTCTTTTCCTCTTTCTTCCTTTCTTTCTCTCTCTCTCTTTTTTCCTTCCTAAATCTCTGTTTTTGAAGGATTTGGGTGACTGCCAAGCCCTAACCTTTGTTGATTACTTGAAAAGATAATCAGACTTTGTAGACTCACTTTTAGAAAAGGTAGGGTCACCTCTAGGCCATTTACATATTTCACTGGTGTGTTGCAATGAGAACTGAGCCTCGTTCTGCCTGTCAGGACAGCCATCATCCAGAGGAGTTCCAGACACCTCCATTCTTTCCCCTTCGCACACACAAAGAGGGCCGCTTCGTCTCGCTAAAGTCAATGTGTTCCACCTTCTCCCTTCTATTGACTTACTAAATAGTACCAGCTGAACAGTTGTTGAGACTGTTGACATTTCCAGTTTTTGGAATCAGTAATGTTTGCTTGAATCATTTAAATTAAATCTCCTATAAAGCGTCACTAAAGTCACCATTGATTTTCCGGAATTTTCCCACAAACTGCACTGTTAATGTGAAATAGTTCTTGCCCGATGTGAAAAACTAATAAAGATTTTATTTATTTGGGGGGAAGGGAGCACTGGGGATTACTCTCAGGAAGCCCTGGACCCTGAGGAGAGAAATCACATGCCCAACACCTGAGCTATGCCATCAAATCCTAAAGCCTAGTAAAGATTTTCTTTTTCACAGTTTATTTATGGTATTGTATGAGTTTGCGTGTGTGCTACACACACACACACACACACACACACACACCCGTGCACACACACATTCACACACTTGGAGGTCAGAGGACAATTTTTGGCAAGTCCTCTCTTTCCTTCGGCCATGTGGGTCTTGGGGATTTCACTTGGGTTCCTTCACCAGCTGAAGCATGTCATCAGCTGAGGAGGGTTTTTAATGGATTAATTAATTTGCATGGGGTGTGTGTGTGTGTGTGTTTGAAAGGCAGACGACAACTTGCAGGACTCTGTTCTTTCCTTCCACTCTGTGAGTCCCGGGGATAGAACTTCAAGACGTCAGACTTGGGAGCAAGTGCCTGTACCCACTGGGCCGTCTTCCCGGGGTCCATGTAAACATGTTTGAAATCAGTTTTGTCCACTATTTTCTAAAAAGGCTGATTTCCCTTCCATGGCTTCCTTTGTTGTAGGTTGCGTTTATCTCTAAGATAAGCAGTTCACTCCCATGCCAGAAAATTATGCTTCTTTATTGATTTATAGTCCCCTTTGGCTACGTTCCAGGCTCCTCCTTCTAGTAACAGTAGAGTCTTCTAACTTTCTCATCTACCCTGAAGGATTAAGTGAAATGTCCCTTTTGCTTTTGGGCCCTTCTTCCTGGCCCTGTTTCTCGGAAGGAGCTGTTTTAAGTCATCGGCTTCGGCAGGGGGAAGGGGGAAGTGTGTGTAGCACCTTGACAAGCCCTCCCTGCCTGAGTGTGTCTGAAAAGTACCCATTCCTTGCGTGTGCCTGTGTGTGCCGCTGATATGTGAACGGCCCTGTGTCCTCTTGGGGGTAGTATGGGTTTTGACATCTTCTCAGTGTCTCTGACGGGGGTCCTTGGGTCTACTGTGCCTTCTGAGCGAGTCTTCGTTTGACTTCCTAGGGTCATTGATGTAGCTCATAGGCCACGAGGCGATTTAAAACATGCCTTTAGAAAAAGCGTTTTGTAAATCAAACCTGAGTTTTCTGAATGTTTTTATTTATTCCAAAAATACCTTTAAGAGGAGCGTGGACACCACTTCGTTTACTTTATTGAGTTTTCTGCAGGCGGGCCTTCAAAAGGTGTTGGTATTTAATTCGTTATAAAGTAGGAGATGGAACCTAGTACCTTGTCCATGCCGGGAGGCCACTGAGCCGCCTCTTACCTGTAATTACTATCTGGCACAGGGCTCTGTGTCCTGTTTTATAGGGATGTCAAAGAACTGTCGGTTCAGTTTTGTTTTCTGTGTTTTAAACAGCTTGTAAGCCGTCTTGCTATGGGAAATGTGGATTTAACTTTGAATTTCTTCCTCCGAAGCAAAAGGCCGGTGCTGGTTCTTCAGAATGAAGCCCTTTATCCACAGCGGCGCTCCTATACCAGCGAGGATGAGGCCTGGAAGTCTTTCCTGGAAAACCCCCTCACCGCAGCCACCAAAGCGATGATGAGCATCAATGGGGACGAAGACAGTGCGGCTGCCCTGGGCCTGCTCTATGACTACTACAAGGTGGGTTGCGGGCTCCTTACAGCCCCGATGGCGTGCGTTCTCAGACGCACCTGATTCAGCAGCCTATAAAACAGTCATTTGCTGAGTGTCGGGCTGACTGCTTCTCTAGTGACTATAAATAGTTTAATGAGCACTCGGGCTTTCTGTGGTTCAAAGCCGAGCATCCACGATCACAGAATCAAAGGGCGTTTTTAAACAGCGGCTGTGGCCCTAGCTGACGGAGACGCTGCCATAAAAGAAGGTAGTCGCCATGTCTCCCCCAGTTTGAACATTTGAACAAACTTGGTTCCTGGTGCCGTGGAAAGGGGTTGTTGCCGACTGACCTGGCTCTCCCCTACCTGGTGGTCAGGGCAATTGCCTTTTCTGTGACCGCTATCACAGTCTTAGGATTGGTTGGGGAAATGCACATTTTTACAATTCTGAGATCAGAGTACGTTTATCCTGTCTGCTTCTAGACAGCTGAATTAGCCTTCACTATCATGTGTACTGTGTGTAGGTTTTTGTACTAGTCTACCTCATGGTTCTTAACGGAGTCCCAGTAATTCAGCTGCCAATCACTGATGACCTATGTCACACTGGACAGCCCGTGTGTCACTTTGACTCTCAGGCCCAGGAACTAGGATGTATTCCGTTCCTGCCACAGACTGTCCTCTCTGGTGCTGAGGAGTGGCCTGTGTCTGCTGTCTCCTAGGCTTGACCAATGGCAGATGCTCAGGAATGGCCATTTGATTTTCTTGATTGTGAGCATCCACTGTTATATATACTTAATAACTAGCAATGCTTTAAAAACGGATTGCTAATCAATCAGACAACACTTAGTTTCATGTCGTGTGTGTGTGTGTGTGTGTGTGTGTGTGTGTGTGTGTGTGTGTGTACGCGGGGAACGTGGGGGGGAATGTCTGCAAATGAGTGCGGGTGCCCACAGAGGCCAGAAGAGGGAGTTGGATCCCCTGAGGCTGGAGTTATGGGGTGGCTGTGAACTGCCTGATGTGAGTGCTGGAACCCGAACTCCCGTGCAAGGGCACTGCTCACTCTTAACCACGGAGCCATCTCGCAGGCCCCTTGTTTTGTCGTTAATGGTGAAATGTGAAAGAATTCTTGTACCGCAAATATCTCACATATCTCACCCACGTATCAACAACATTTGTGTACCTCTTTGGGCTATATCTCAGGTGGGTTCATGTCACAGTGTGCCCAGTGTCCTTTGTCTGCTTTTCGGCTTTGGGGCAAAGAAAAGAAGAGTTATAAAAGAAGTAGAACAGGGCTGGAGAGATGGCTCAGTGGTTAAGAGCACTGGCTGCTCTTCCAGAGGACCTGGGTTCAGTTCCCAGCACCCACGTGGTGGCTCACAGCTGTCTATAACTCCAGTTTCAGGGCATCTGGTGCCCTCTTTTGATCATGGGCACCATTCACTCACTTGGTGCATGGACATAGGTCCAGGCAAAACATTCATACACATAAAATAAAACACGTGTTTTAAAATGTTTAAATAAAGAAGAAAGAAATCCTTACGTGACAGACTGCGTTTGTGGCGCCCCAAGTCTGTTCAGCAGTTGCTTGTCACCTCTTGCCGTGGTAACCAGGCTAGTAGCTCCTTTGGAGCAGATTGGTGCTCAGCAGACAATCAGGAGTTGAGTGAAGTAGGGAGCCTGCCGGGAAATAAAAGGTTGCTCCTTCAGGTGAAGGCTTCTCCCCTGCATAAGGACCAAATCCCTTTCATTGGTGTTAATGCTTTAGGTTCCCAGAGAGCGCCGGGCATCCGCAGCCAAGCCAGAGGGGGAGCACCAGGATCCAGAGCACAGCAAACGGTAAGTGGGGCAGTCGGTGTACGCCGGGGTACACCGTCAAGAGGTGGGGCGGTTCCACCGGGTGAAACCGGAAGGTTCTGGGGGAAGAGGCGGTGGAGTGACCCATCCTCTCAGAGTTCGAGCCTGTTGCGGAGTTGCCTCTGTTACTCTGAGAAGTTACTGTTTATTTAGGCAGCATTCCCTTTCCTAGAAAACATGAGCATCCTCTCCTCTTCCAGAGGGAGTTTTTAAAACCCGAAGTGTTTGTTCATCTGTGTTGAGACCCTCCACAGGGGGATGAGACGGGGAAGGGTCTGAACAACCGCCTGGCTGTGGTGGCGCACACCTGTCGTCCCAGCACGCGGGCGGCAGAAGCAGGAGGCTCAAGAGCTCTAGCGAGCCTGGATCTTGGGAGAACCTGCTTTAGACAAAGCAAGGCTTGGCATGCAGCTCTGTGATGGCACACTAGACTGGCATGGGCAAGGTCCTGGGTTCAGTCCCCACATCTGCAAAAAGAAACAGAATGAAGCAAAACGAAACAAACAACCAGAAAGAGAAGTTACATACCAGTGACTCAGGAACAGTCGTCTGAGTAAAACTCAGTGAATTGACATCCAAACTCCTCCTGAAGGCATTTTGGGTTAAAACTTTGGTAGATTCATTACAACTCAGCCGTGTGGCCATGAAACGTTTTTAAAAGACACATGTTACACTTATTTATTTTATTTGCGTGCACTCACGTGTCTGTGTGTACCAAGGTGCACACGTGACAGTCAGAAGGTAGCTTAAGGAAAGTCCCCTCTTGCCATCTGTGGCTTCCGGGTATCGAACTCAAGTCATTAGACTTTGTGGCAAGCACCTTTACCCACAGAACCATTTTGCTAGCCCTAAAAACAGCTTTTAAATCGACCCTTGTTTTATTAGTAATACAAAATAAAACAGCTGGGCATGGTAGCATATACCTGTAATCCTAGGTAGCCTGAAGCAGGAGTTCAAGGCCAGCCTGGGCCATGGTAGCCAGATCCCATCTTGCAGGGGAAGGGGACAGAAGCTGATTTAAGGAATGAGGAGTGGTTCATATTCCACGCTCCTGACAATTATTTCTTTACTGTGGCTGTGGTTACAGGTGCAGACAGTTTTTGGAAGTGGGCATTTATTACTTGTAATTTGTTTCATAAATATTTTCCATATTGCTATTTAAAATGTATTTTTTTGGAGAGCAGCTTATTTATAGATTTTATTTTTTACTCTTTATTATGAATCTTTCTGAGCTCAGTAAAAGGAGAAATGGTAGAAGCCAGCATATATTCACTGCCACCCTCAACAGCTCTAATGTGAAGCTGTTCTTGTCTCTTCCTTAACGCTAGCATTAATTCATGTTTTATTTGATATACTTTTGCTAAGTGTCTGGAAGTGAACTCAGAATGCACTTAATTTCGCAGCCATGTCTAGTCTTTTACTGTGACAAAGACACAGTAAAAACTTTTATTTTGAGACTGGGTCTCAAGTTGTCTGGGTTGGCCTGCAGCTTTCAATCCTCCTGCCTCAGCTTCCTGATATTTTCTTTAGGATCTGTCCTCAGGAGTGAGTTTACAGTTCAGAGATGTGTAAAATCGCCTTGGTTTTGTTCCTTGACGTTTTCAGTTTGTAAGGTTTCAGGAGGCTTTAAAAATACATTCATGGACCGGGGAAGCTTGGTGGAAGAACACTCGGCAAGCACATACAGCAGGACTCGGTTCTGTCCCCGGTCCCGGAGAAAAAGGCGGGGCAAACCAGTGAACAACTCCACATTGGGGCTAGAGTAACAGCTCAGGGTAAACCTGCCAGCTTGAGTTCTGTCCTCGGAACCCGGAAGGAAGGTGGAAGGAGAGAACGCTCCATAGAGTTGACTTCTGACCTCAGCGGGCTGCCACCTACATATCACACATACGCGCGCGCATACACACACACACACACACACACACACACACACACACACACACACACACACACACGCACGCCCATACACCTATACATGTACACAGAGGTGTACACACACATACACATATACACACATACATGAACACACACAGAGGTGTATACACATATACACACACGTACATATACACATGTACATGTACACACACATACATACACATATACACATATATTCAAAAATGATTATTTTTAAAACTGAACATTCACATTACCTTAATATTAAACCATGATTAATTTTGTATAAAATATCTACTGATAAAGTATGATAATGACTTTTCCTTGGGAAAGCCAGATGGCATCGGTATTAGAGAGTGATGCTTGGCAGTGCTTACTTGTGAGCGTCTGTGTGCGTGTGCGGGTGTTGTTCCCTGAACTCCGTACTCAGCACCCGTGAGAGAGGACAGACACCCACCATGCTGGCTAGTTTTTGTCAACTCAACACAAACCTAGACAAACCTACCTGGGCAGAGGGAACCTCAACTGAGGGATTGCTCCCAGCAGATTGGCCCGTGGGCCTGTCTATGGGGCATTTTCTTGGTTGCTGATTGATGTCTGAGGGCCCAGCCCACTGTGGGCGGTGCCATCCCCAGGCAGAAGGCAGCAGGAGCAAGCGGGTAAGCAGTTCTTCTGTGGTCCCCTTGAGTTTCAGCCATGGCGTCCCTTGATGACGGACTGTGATGTGCAGGCCTTTCCTCCCCCAGGCTGCGTTTGGTCATAGTGTTTTATCACAGAGACGCAAGCTAGGACACATTGTTTTTACGTCTCACAGATGAGAATGGGAGTCCTGAGAGACATAATATCTTGCTCCAGCTGAGGCACAGTTTGAACCCAGTGGTCTCACTCTGGAATCTGTGCACTCACAGCATCAGGTTTATGATAAATACAAAGGTCTACGTTAGGATCGTTGGGACTAGCACGTACTGGAGGAACGCTCTGGGTCCCTTCAGAGTGAATGTGCTCTTGCTGTGGGTGTTGCTTGACTGACGGCTGTGGGGTCTTCACCGGGAACGGGCCCTTCCTCCAGCTCCTGTTTCGTTGGCGTCTGTCCCGTGCATAACTGCTATGGGAAGCCCAGACCATCAGAGTGACGGGTTACCTGGAGCATGTGCTCAGTGTACATGAAGCCCTGGTTGGAGCCCCAGCACCTGCTCCTTTCAAATCATCAAAGCCCTGTATCAGCACCAAAGTTGAAAACATAACGGCCTTTCTCCTTTCTCGAAGAACCAGCATGCCAAATGTGACGGAGCAGCCCCTCATTTCTGCTGGCGAAAACAGGGTGCAAGTGCTGAAGAACATGCCCTTCAACATTGTCCTCCCCCACGGCAACCAGCTGGGCGCTGATAAGAGAGGCCACCTGACAGCTCCTGATACAACAGTCACTGTCTCCATAGCAACCATGCCTACCCACTCCATCAAGACCGAAATCCAGCCGCACGGCTTTGCTGTGGGCATCCCCCCATCGGTGTACCACCCTGAGCCCGCCGCCGAGCGCGTGGTGGTGTTCGACCGGAGCCTCAGCACTGACCAGTTCAGCTCGGGCACTCAGCCTCCCAACGCTCAGCGGAGGACTCCAGACTCCACCTTCTCAGAGACCTTCAAGGAGGGCGTTCAGGAGGTACAAAAGACAAAAACATCTTCCTAAGACGGCAGCATGTTTGTCTAAGTATTGGGTTCCACCTTTTCCTGGTTATGTAAGCTTGAAACTTAGCCCGGAATGAGTGGATCAGGAATAAAAAGATTTTTTTTTTTTTTTTAAGAGAAAGGCCCGTAGGTATAATTTGTAAACTAAACCAACAAATCCAAAAATTATCATCAAGGGCACATGGGTAATCTTACCAGCAGCTGAGTTAACAATTATGGTTTCCGCTAAGAGGTTTGCTGGGGAGAGAGAAAGGAAGCCTGTGTATAATCTTCCGACCACAAGTGCATTCTCATAGTGTTTCTTCAGCTTTCGTCCTAGACCGGAGAAAGCTCCCAAAGCCAGCCTAGTGTGGCAGCTCTGTCGCATCCAAAGCCAGCCTCGTGTGGCAGCTCTGTCGTGTCTTCGCTGGGCGCTGCTTGTTTCGTGGCGTAATCCAGGGTTGGAGGTAGTCATCAGGACACTCTATGAGTTCCAGAGCGTTGGAAGGGTCCGATCACGAAGACCTCACTTGGGGAGAAGATGGGCACTTAGGGAGGCGGGTCTTACTGCCCCTGAGGATCTTTTAGGAGTAGAAACTGACACTTTCCAGGAAAGGGTAGTCGACTTGCCCAGCCCTGGTGCACACTTGACTCCTGGCCCTTGTATTTTGGCTGCAGATTCTAGACTCTGAACATTTGATGTGTGGGAAAGATAAGGGACAGGGAAGAGTGGATCACAGGCACTTTGTGAAGTGTCTGTGTGTGCACGTGCACGCGCGTGTGCCTGTGTGTAGTTATTCACATGAGTGGTGGATAAAATTAGATATTTACTTTTTATTATCTATATATGTATTGGTTTTTCAGAACAGGATTTGTCTGTGTAGCTCTGACTGTCCTGGAACTCTCTCTGTAGACCAGGCTGGCCTTGAACTCAGAGATCCACCTGCCTTTGCCTCCCGAATGCTGGGATTAAAGGTGCAAGACACACCACCAGACTGATATTTATTTTTTATGACTTTTCTTAATTTAAATTTTTTTTATAGATTTAAAATTCTTATTTTGAAATGAGCCTCAAAAGGGTTGTGGGTTACCGTATGCCATACACTGTAGCCATACCGGACCTTGGTCATTAGTAACCATGATGATAGTTAAATGGCCGTGGCTCACTCCATTGATATTTCAGGTTTTCTTCCCCTCGGACCTCAGTCTTCGGATGCCGGGCATGAATTCAGAGGACTATGTGTTTGACAGTGTTTCTGGGTAATAGTTGTCTTTTTATTTGACTCTTGAATTTTCAGCCTCTGTGGTCACTTCTCCTTCTGGTGCGTTGGTTCTGACAAATCCGAGGTAGCTTTGGCCCGCTTTCGCCCTCCTCTGACTCTGCCGGCTGTGGCTTTACCTTGGGTAGGGAACTTTCCCTGTGGTGATTCGATGTGGGACTCTGGGTTTCGCCTCCTTGGCTCCTGGTGTTGGTACTTTTTCCTTCCCTGGCTCCCTTCTGTGGTGTAGCGGGATGGAATCTCAGGGAGAGATGGGGATTAAGGTAGATCGCCGGGCCGTCTGTTCCCAAAACTGTACATATAGCTGACAGTTTAGGGGTAAGTTAAGTGGACAAAGGACTTTATTATCCTTGTTAATGATAAAATAAACAAACGTAACTGTCTCTTCTGACCTGACCACTTGCTTTTAGCTTAGCGAAACTGCACCCTAGCCTGGGAATAGGAACACTTTCTAGGTTCGTGAGAAGTCTATATCAACACCTCAAGATTGTTTTTAAAGTTTAGGATTTCATTTTTTATTGTATGTGTCTAAGTGCATCATATTTTGCAGTTTTTTTTTAAAAAAAAACAAAACCAAGGGCATTGAGACGGCTCAGTGGGTAAAGGCGCTTGCCACCAAGCCTGATGATCCTAGTTCAGTCCCTGGAGGCAGCAAGGTGGAAGTAGGGGACCTCCTACAAGGTGTCCTCTGACCTCCACACGCACACTAAACAGACAGACAGACAGACAAACTTGCAGGATTTAGACTTCCTTTATAAGCATGTCCCAAGGCGTAAGGATCACAAACTCACGAACATTAGGTGTGGGTTAGAGCTGGCAGGCTTTCCCTGTGACGCGTCAGATAGTGAACACTTCAGGCTCTGTCAGCTAGACAGCCTCTCTAGTTCTGTGACTAGCCAACTTTGCCGTCACAATGAAAAAAGGGTCTGCAGATAAGGCATAAGCGAGTGGTACGGCTGTGTTCTAATAAAACTTTACTTAAAAAGTTTTGTATTTGGCTGACATCTGGTCTAGGAAGGTAGGTTCTGAGTGGTTGTGTAAAGTAGCAGGAGACATAGGCAGTCATGGAGTGCCTGTCTAGAGACAACTTGCAGACAGAAGCTACAGGAGAGTGCTAGCAGGCAATTGACCGAGTGTCGTGCTCCCAAATGACCGAGTGTCGTGCTCCCAAATGACCGAGTGTCGTGCTCCTAGCCCATTTTCAACCTTTGTTCCATAAAGGCCAGCTTGGCAGCCAGCCCCAGGAGGTTCCTGCCACCACCTGTCCAGTTCCTGATGTCGTTTGTAGCCCAAGCATCCGAATGTCTAGTTGTTGACATTACGTCATTACATAGAACATGTAATCAGTATTTCATAGCCACTGTCTGAGACTTTCTGGTCACCAATGGTCCCTAAGCACTTGTGTTTGGATCCTGTTTCTCAAGAAAAGGGGGCACGTGCTGCTTCTAACATGGTGTCGTCCGCTGGATGTTTGCTGATGGTCTTCTTCTCAGTAACCCCCCCGACACACACACACACACACACACACACACACACACACACACACACACACGCACACGCACACGCACATCACACACATCACTTCAGGACTGAGGTGTACCAGAAGTTTCCAAGAGACTGGCCCGGAGACCTGTTGCTTCTTTCTCCTGTAGGAACAACTTTGAGTATACCCTAGAAGCCTCCAAGTCACTTCGGCAGAAGCAAGGGGACAGCACTATGACTTACCTGAACAAAGGCCAGTTCTATCCAGTCACCTTAAAGGAAGTGAGCAGCAATGAAGGGGTCCACCACCCGATCAGCAAAGTTCGAGTAAGTTCTGTACCTGATATTGCTCTCCGAGAAGCTGCTATCAGGGACCCTAGTTCCTAATACTTCCAGGTTCTTGTAACGGAATACAGGCCTGAAAGTGCTAGGGCTTGTGGATTGTGTTTAAGGATTATTTTTACCTTTATTCCTATGTCTCTGTGAGTGTTTGCACATGATGGAGATGCCCTTGGAGGCTCCCTTGGAGCTGGAGTTACAGGCTGTTGTGAGAGGCCCAGAGGTGGGTGCCGGGAACAGAACTCAGGTCCTCTGGGAGAGCAGCGCGTGTTCAGAGCTCCTGGGCCATCACTCTAGTCCCCCACAGTGTTGCTTTAAGCCTTAACTGTAAGATCTGGTAACGAAGACCTCCCCGGAAGCTGCTCGCCCCTGGGTTTCCTCACGCTGTGCTGCGTCCTCACGCCGTGCCGCGTTCTCGTCCCCAGAGCGTGATCATGGTGGTTTTTGCCGAGGACAAAAACAGGGAAGAGCAGCTGAGGCACTGGAAGTACTGGCACTCCCGGCAGCACACGGCCAAGCAGAGGTGCATCGACATCGGTGAGTGGCCGGAAGCCCACCTTTGCTCTCGGAAGCCCGGGGCCCAGCCCCCCAAACCCGGTTATTTTTGGCGTTGATGAACTTCCTGCCGAAAGCGTTTGAATTCTGATGCCAGCCACAGATGTGTTCCAGGCAGTGTCCTGTGCCTCCTGGAATCAGGGCTCTGTCCTCACTTCCTTCTCGGGGCCTGTGCCCAGGCCGTGGTTTGCCGTGTGACTCTGGAGCCAGGGACTTTAGCCAGCTAACATAGGAGTGTCCCACTTTCAGCCTGTGGTTCTTCTTACCCCTTCTCTGCTGCGCTGAGGATGGAGCCTGGGCCGGCACACCTGCTAGACGAGCCCTCAACCATCAAGCCGCACCTCCCAGTCGGCACATTTTGGGGGGTGGTAATGTCGTCTTTAGGAGATGCTTGGTCTTCTTTAGAGATAATGATAAAGAGAGTTCCAAATGTGCAAAAGGAAACCACTTCTCCAGCTACACCCTGAGCTAGGTTGCTGATCTCACTGGTCTATAATAATCCAGTGGTGGATGCCCAGGGTTCAGCTCTACAAAGCATCTGTTCCCTTCCGGTTTCCAGTCTTACACAACACCATCATCTACCCACAGGTGGCCATCCACCTGGGGGCTCCTGCCATCATCTACCCACAGGTGGTTGTCCATCTGGGGCTCCTGTTTATCTTCTGAAATTCTCAGGCTCTCTTTTCTGTAAGAATCAGAAGAGCCGAGTTCTCTCTTTGTTGGGACAAGGTCTTTCAATCTACTCAGGCTGGTCTCAAACTCTTTGCATATCCCAGGCTGCCCTTGAATTCACACCAAAATCCTCCTGCTTCGGCCTCCCAGTTTCTGGGATTATAGGCATGTGCCTCTACACCCAGCTTAGAAGATCTGAGTTCTAATCTTGCTTCCAGAGATCAGTTTTAGGATCTTAAGACCATGCTTAAACTTTTTAGACTTAAACTTCCTAATTTTGATCCAATGATAATGGAATTAACTGTATCTAAGCTTGCCTGTATTTAAAAAAAAAAAAAATAGAGTCCTGGGATTATTTTTTCCTCCTTTATTTTAGAATTTCTTTCAACCCAACAAAATGCTTATTTAAATTGTCAGAGGATAATGCCGCAAACTGAGTATTTCTTTGCCTGCCATGATCTCACATTGAAAGTAACAGTCGTGACTTTCTTTTTCTCGTCCAATGCTTCATGTAGCCGACTACAAAGAAAGCTTCAATACTATCAGCAACATTGAAGAGATTGCTTACAATGCCATTTCCTTCACCTGGGACATCAACGACGAAGCGAAGGTATTTCATAACGTCCAGGGCGTGTCCCTCCCAGCTGTCTGAAAAGTGGGAGGAGCTTCCCGATTTCACAGCTGATCTGTTTTGTAGTTTTACACTTGTCCCCTCCTAGAGGTTATGAAACTGTCCTTGCAGTTCCCACCCTCCTCCGAAGCAGCATTTTTTCTTGATGTCCCTCAACGCAGAGTCCAGTATGTGGTGCCTCCAGGCTGGGCTGTCACCTGCCAGTGCCTCCTGCCTGACCCCCGGGTCCACCCAGGCACTCCTTTCCTTGGCTTCACTTCCTCATTTGCGGAGTAGCATTCATACTCTGCCCTCCCCCCATTCCGTGATGTAAGGATTAGTGCGGCAGCGTCCCGGCAGCCAGGTGGGGTTTCTGCAGAAAGGGTAAATCCAAGTTAGCAGCAGTGTGCATTTCCCACCGTTAGCAAACATAACCGCGGGGGAGCCTTCCGCCTCCTGCGTTGACAGTTGCCTCCATTCAGAGGGTCACTTGGATGATTTTCTGGGACTTTTCAGGGGATTCTTAGGGACAAGCAAGCATATTCTTAAGTTATGTCTCCCTTCCCATGACAGTCTCTCCATTCTATTCATTAAAATTATTGGAGTTTTGCTGGGCGGTGGTGGCGCACACCTTTAATCCCAGCACTCAGGAGGCAGAGGCAGGCAGATCTCTGAGTTCCAGGCCAGCCTGGTCTACAGAGCAAGATCCAGGACAACCAGGGCTCCATAGAGAAACCCTGTCTCAAGAAAAACAAAAAGAAAAACTATCGAGTGAGTTCTGGCATGTAGTTACTTGAGAAATCGGAGCCCCAGAAGCTTAAACAGGTGCTGGGGAAGGTCCACCAGGAGCTCTTGTTGTAAGATTAGTGATGCTTTCCTTCAGGGTTCCCGTGCACGGTCTGATCGCCTTCCTGCCCTTTCCACCCTCTCCTTTCCATTCTTCCATTTATTCAGGAAGAATTTTAGTCTCTATGGAGAGTGTAGGCCTTATAAAGCATGCCTGATCCCCAGCATCTCATGCCTGCTCTCCCTAAAAGAAAAGTAACTTTTTTAATTCATGGGACAAGACACTACATTGGAAGCTTATGGTTATCAGGGCTTGCTTCAATTTCTATTGCTTAAAATTGCTTTTAAAAATCAAATAATGTGGCCAGGTGTGGTGGTGCATGCCTTTACTCCCAGCACTCAGGCGGCAGAGGCAGGTGGATTTCTGTGAGTTCCAAGCCAGCCTCTTTTACGTAGTGAGTTCCAGGTCAGAGCCAGAACTCCATAATTGAGAACCTGTCTCAAAAAAAAAAAAAAAAAAAAAAAAAGAAAGAAAGAAAAGAAAAGAAATCAAATGATGAGGTTCTCAGGAGTCACATGCAGTTAGTTCTGTCCCACTGTGCCATAGTGGTTGTATCTAAGGCAAAGGGCATCCTTCCACTGCGTGAGACAGTCTGCAAGAAGCTCTGGGGGCCGCGACAGCACCCCTGCCAGCCCCCACCGCTCTGTCCAGATGTCAGCTGGCTGCTCCCTCCAGAGCTGGTACTGGATTCCGTTTGAGAGGGGCTGCTGAGGGAGGCCCGCCACTTTGTATGTTTGTCTCAGTTATTTTGAAACTTAAAACTGCGATAGGACTTAGTGTGCGGCTTCTAAGAAGCCAGGTAAGAGGAGCTAGCTGGCCATGCCCTCTGGGCGCTTCTGGTCTCGGGCTCCTGAGAAGTGTTTCCTGCTTCACTGGGAACCTGTGGAGCCGCAGCAAGGAAGCACTGTACCCAGTTCTCTAGTCTGACTTACTGTGACCTATGCCAGTCTCTAGCTGGGGGAGGGTGTGTGTGTGTGTGTGTGTGTGTGTGTGTGTGTGTGTGTGTGTGTGTGTGTGTGTGTGTGTGTGTCTGCACCTTTACCACCATTGAAAAAGCAAAAGGCTGATGAGGCGGGTTCTGCGGTCTGTTGGGTGTGGCCGGCGTTAATAAGCACTTGTCAGGGCCTTGGCGATCTGGGCTGGAAGGACCTGCGTATGGGCAGGGCGCTCTGCAAGCCTCATGTGTCACTCGAGGGTGGGGATAAGGAAGGCTGAGAAAAAGGGGCGGCAGGCTGTGTGCTGAAGACTGACGGGGACCTGCCCTGGACAGAGCTGATTCCAAGCTCCCGCTAATGCAGAGGCCGAGCGGGCTCCCTCCTCTTACCCACCCAGAGTCTGCGCACAACCCTCTCCTACTCCTGGGACATGGTGGTGTGCCATTTCTTAATGAGGCTGCTCCCTTTTGAAGCTGATACCAGACATCAGTTTCAAGCGTGTGCTGGAATCCAGCAAGTCGATTCTTTGCTCTCCCCAGTCAAGTCCATGCTTCTGTTTTCATACTTAAAGTAATTAATGCCTCGAGGTGGCTAGAGTGAGTAGGTGTGCGTGCAGAATCCTGTAGAGTGGGGGTGTTTTGTTTACTTACTTTATGAAAGTATCTACCTTCTTAAATGGCTCCCTTTCTTGTTCTCACTTAGATATGTTCGTTTTTAATTAATTCATTGTTTTCTTAGTAGTGCTGAGAAATAGACCCAGGGCTTCATGCTTGCTAGGCAAGTGCTCTACCCGTGAGCTATACTCCAGCCCAGTATATGTTAATTTCTGATTGTCTCGCACAAACGTCCAGGTTGGTGGGAGATGTATGGCATTCCTTTGCTCTGACTTCTAATGGTAACATCCACTCTCTGGCATGCCAGCATGAGTAGACCCAGGATTCTGACCAGTGTCTTTCTCTGAGTCCTACCTGTTCATGGGCTTCTGCCTCTTAATTGGATGTCATTGTTTTGAGAACACACAAAGGTAAATCATGAATGTCTTGACTGGTGTGCTACTTGGGAAAACACTGCTCCAGCCTGGACTCAACTCATAGTGTGCCTGTGCACAGGCAGTTCATGGATGTAAGCAGGAACCTGCTGGTGCCACAGAAGCGTTAGGGGAAAAGCCATTTGTTTTTAAAGCAGAGGTAGAAAGGGAAGCTTTTTTGAAAACTAGGAATGTCTGGGTGTGGTGGCACATGCCTTTTATCCCAGCATTCAGGAGGCTGAGACAGGCAAACCTCTGTGTTTGAAGCCAGACAGGTCGACATGGCGAGTCCAGGGCCAGCTAGGACTGCATAGTGAAAGACGTTCATTGGCAGCTGGATGGACGCCTTTCTAAAGACTTAGAAGTTGACGGACAGGTTACAGTTCCTCTCGGCGGTGGCTCCGATTTCTTCCCTAACACTATGTGGCCAAGCTGGGCTCCTGGACGTAGTTCAGCAGGAAGCAGCAGCGTCTGCATTTGAACCTTCAAAGATTGACAAGGTGCTCAAGTGTAGGATTCGTAGGGAAAGACATGAGGGCCAGAGAAGAAAGAGGAGGAGGAGAGGAGCCAGCATAGCACAGAGTGGGCGCGTGCTCGGCTGCACGGGCACCCCCTTGAGCCAGCAGGTCCTTCCACCCTGCAGGAGCCAGGCTTGGGCCATCTAGTGGCTGATGCTACAGCAAGGCTAGCCGCAGACTCCTAACTCCAGGTCTGGGGTTCCAGACGGTACCATTGTAACCGCAGCTCACCTAGGCCATGCATTAAATGGGCTCTTGTGGAGTAGCCTAAGACCTTCAGTATGGCATCACCATGTCAAGGGGAAATGTATGCGTTACTTCACACATGAAGTTTGGAGATAAAAGTCTCAGTCAAGGTCTCTACAATAGTCCTAGTAAGAGGGAAGGATTGTGGGTCTGCTGGAGCTCCTGGCCTGGAGTCTGCTCTTATCTGGCTTGGGTCATAAACCTTAAGTGTTTACAGCAGCACCAAGATTTGGTTAGTGATAGGAAGAGGAAGCCCAGAGGTCTAAAATAAATAGTGGGAAGAGAAGTGAGAGAACTAAGTCCTGTGTGTAACTGTCCCTCACAGGCTGGGCTGTCACTCACACTGTGCTGGGCTGTCACTCACAGGCTGGGCTGTGCTGGGGCGTCTTGCCATGTTCACACTCCACTCAGCACCATGTAGCAGCGCTTAACCCTTTCGGGACAGCATTGCGGACTCACTAATAGAAATGACTCTAGAAAACACTTGGGTGATAGTCAGCTGCAGAGGAGTGGGGATTATAAACCGAAAAGCAACCGGTCCTGGACAGCAGCACCAAGGACGGTCATCTAGCGGCGGCGGCAGCCTGGACGTGGCTCTGGTCACAGCCAAGTAGCCAGAAGGGCAAAGAAGATGGTGACGGTTCAGCGCACAGCTCCGGCTCTCTTTGCTGTTTGCTCTAGACACGATCTTTGCGAATATTAAACTATTGAGGATGTGATGGACTCCGGGGATACAGAATCTCTAACCAGTAAGTTTCCCTAGTACAGATCTAAGGCCTTTAAGGTAGATTGTGTTGTGGCTACATTCACATGTCCCCCTCAGAACTACCAATACCAAAGAGTTCCCTGTGAGGTGTGGGCCAGGCCCCCGGGGTGGGTGATACCAGGGAGTGCGGGCATAGAACCTGGTGTGCTTTGCGAGTTGTGCCCCCCCCCCCCGCCCCGAGGCTTAAGGCTGCCAGGCTCGGGGTCTTTTCCCACCACTCTGCTGTAAGCCCCCCGGTGCGATTCGTGAGTTGCCATCAGGGCTCTTTGAGAAGGAGGCTGATTAGTCTCAGTGTGTGACCAGGCTGCTCACTGACCAATGGGACCGCAGCTTTCCATGCTGGGACCCATTGTCTGTGGGTGTGACGGGTCTCCCTAGTTAGCTCCCTCCCGTTTCTTGCCTTCCACGCAGGGCACAGGCTGAGGGGTTAGGGCAGGGGCGAGGGCGGTCAGAGGCACAGCATCCTGTCCCTGGAAAAGCTGTGGGGTCAGACTGTATGCTCTCACAGCTCGCTGTAGCCCAGCTGCTCTGAGAAGGTACTCGTAGGACTCTGGGCGGTTGTTCTGGAACACCAGTGTTCCGTCATGGAAAGGCTCATGTTACAAAATAAAGAGGATTAAAACGATTTGACGCCTACCTTGAGGTCCCATAAGCTTTACCA